CAACTTAGTTCTTCCTGTGCATATGCTCATTTGCTATGTTGCACGAACACATGACAAAATATGCTATCCCCAGCGCCATCATGGCTATGATTAGGACCTACCAATGCTGTAAAAGTTGCTGGCAAGTTGTTTATAAGTATGTAAGCTGTGCAGATGAGATTTTACCTTGTATTTTATCCATATTCAGCTGAAATAGAACTTCAAATCAATCAAGATGAATGAAGTTTACAGGCCACGGAGAATCCCATGGCACATTTTATATGGTAATAAATCCTTTAGGCAAATTCATTTTAGTCATAAACATTATTCACATTCTGCTTTTCTAAATGTCCCATTTGGGAATGAGGATAAGGTTAAGGCTATAAAATTGTTGTTTTCACTTTTCTCAAAGTTGATGGTACTGGATGCTTAACTGTTGTTTCCTTCTGGATGTTTTTCCTCATTCAGAAAATCAGTAACACTGGATAATATTTGAAAAAGCTCAACTTTCCCAGAATATCACTGCCAATCTTTTATAATATGCTAGGACTACCAGATTTCTATTACAAAAATGAGGATATATGAGAAGGTGGATTTCTGTAGCCTAAATATATCATTATAGTACAATATGTGAGACTAGAACTCTGTTAGAAATTAGTTCTACTGCACCACAAAAAAACTGGATGAAGAGTACATAGTACTTGGGAATTAGCATTTGCTATATCTCTCTGCTGAAATCGAATGGTCATTTAAATTTTTACATAAGGGATCTAACTGAAATTGCAGTTTGTATTGCTTCTACCAATTGTTTTAGTATAATGTATCTCATTCTTAAAACTACTCTGCTTAAATGCCCCACATGCGATAACTGACTTTAGCATATTTGGTTCTGATAATTCCTTTTATTTTTTAAAAATATGAACATAATAAAGTCAAATTTCTAAAACGTTATTTGTAGATCTTATTCATTAATTTGAAATTTTGAAATAAAATAGGTTCTAAATGATGTATAAAATAAAATGCCTTGATCAATAAATGAAATATTTTTAAACAATCGCCATAAAATAGTGTTAATAAGTAATAAAGCTAGTTTTAAAAATAGAGAATAAAATAGTTTTAAAACAATGTTTAATAGATCTTGAAGGAAAAAGCACTATTTTTCCTATTGCTTATAAAAATATTAAATTGCTTCTGTGAGGCATGTTTCACTTTTATATCTACTGGGTACAACCAAAAGGAAGTGTCTTAGATGAGGTGTAAAAGCACTCACTTTTTCAGCTATTAATTTGTTACCAGAATAACATAATTGTGCAATTATATGAGACTGGAATAGTATGAGTGTCACAGCTTTCAAATTACTGTGTTAACATTGTCATTACATTCATTTGATGAAGTAGCCTGTGATCCACAAAAACTTCCATGATAATAAGTGTGAGTTTTTAAGACCTTTTTGCTGCAGAATAACATGCCCACAATACCCCTCTAGACACTTGTACTAATACCAACAGCATCAAAAGTTCTTATTTATGGTATATATTCTGTTTGAATAAATATTAAACATACGTGATTGAACACAAAATATAGAGACGCCCACAGAGACATTTTAAAGCATGCAACACAATGATCTTGCTGGTATTTTAGGTGATCTTAAATTGCTCTTCCAGAGTCAGTGCAAAAGTAAGTCCCCCATATGTTTGAAATAACGTGTTTTAAAATTGCTATAAATAGTTATACAGAGAGAGGGTATCAATTTTTACTTATTTCAGTGTAAGTAACTTTACTGTAAAGCAGTGGTTCTCAAACGTGGCAACTTTAAGACTTGTGGACTTCAACTCCCAGAATTCTCCAGCCAGCTCTGCTCTGCTGGCTGGAGAATTCTGGGAGTTGAAGTCCACAAGTCTTAAAGTTGCCACGTTTGGGAACGACTGCTGTAAAGTAAGAACACTTTTGTTGTGCATTTGTCAGGCATATTTAGATCTTGATTGACTTATGGTTGTGTGAATACTGAATGTTTATGAAAGGGCTTAATAATTATTTAGAATATTTTTTTTCTGCCTATAAGGTGACAGAAAGTGCAGTAAACTAGCACAATTCTTCATCTATTCTTTATATTCTAACCCTTTGCCACAGGTTGATAAGGTAACAGCTGAGTATTCACAATAGAATGCTTTGACCCCATTCACCGAAGCCTGATTTGGGTGCCAAAAAAGGCGCCAAGAAGCTAATATTATCAAGATTTACATCCTCCACTTGGCAGAACAAGACATTTTTAGGAACTGGGAAAAGCTTGACCCTGACAGCTGCCAAGCTGTATTGTACGTGATATCTGTTAAGCTGCTTCTTGGATACATAGGGCAACGGGTAACAGTAAAGACAGGGAGAGAAAAACAGAAGAAAATGAAGAACAAAGAAGGCAAGGACAAAATGTAAAAAAAGTTAATATTAAATTGTCCTCTAATAAATTGCAACAACCCTTTTCTTTTAATATTAAATTAAAATCAATAAAAGGATGAAAAACTATGTTAAAGGCTGCAGGAAATAAAAATGTTTTTGGAATATAAAGGATAAATGAGCAAAGTAAGAAGAACAATACCCAAATTTTAGATAAAAGCTGGAGAAGGGGCTTAAATTATTTCACAAACACCAACTAGTTCCCCCAGTTTTCACTACACTATGTTTACCCAGAACCTTCTAAACTAGTGATAGTTGAAGAAATTTAGCAAAGAGGCTATTTTTTTTCTCCAGGGCCCAATTCCCATTGTTCCTAACTAAGTCATAAACATTATCTGGTAACACTTTTCAGCTTTGTTACCAGGATATTGCCTTCCTTTCACGTCCCATCCATGAGACAGCCAGGCTTAAATGGTAAGAGTATTTTCTCCCTTATTCTGACACCAT